GTGGCTCAGTTTGATCAGAAGGTTTTATATGGGCTTCGCCCTCGGTGCCATGCACCTTAATGCTGTCGCTCTCTGCATTTGCTAATGGTACCTTTCTTTTTCTTACGTATATTTTACCATCTTTACTCTGACTTACGTAATAGAAAGGATGTTGTATTCCTCTTGCGTCATTTAATATAATAGACTCTCGCTCTGATTTTGACAAGCTCATTTTACATCGGTTAAAGTTTTAAGTTAGATTTTTATCCGCAGTCAAATGACTCAGACAATAGATGTTGAAGCATTGAAGAAAGAAATTCGTGAGCAAATTTTATCCGAACTGAAGGAACAAAAACCAGAACAAAAGCCAGAGAGACCAAAGAGAAAACTTAGTGAAAAACAACTTGCTGCATTAGCTGCTGGAAGACAAAAGAACCCACGTTTGCTGGCGAAGAAAGCTAGAGAAGAAGCTGAAGCAAAAGCTAAAGAAGCTGAAGCAAAGAAAGAGTAAATGGTTTATTTTTATCCGAATTAAATGTATAGACAAATACCTTTATCTGTTGCGTTCATAGTGAAAACCCTGACGTCAAAATAAAGGGGAACAGAGTAACGTTTAAGTTTCCACCAGACTGGATTGTGAACATAAATGAAGAGAAGTACATTGGCATAACATATGTATATAACACGTGCTTTCAGAAAGGTTGACTTTATACTTCAAGTCGAGATAGAAAATGACGAACAGTCTTTAAGCGCCCAAAACATTCACATATACAAATACTTTAAAGACGATACAACATTGCAACAATGTATGATTTCATTTAATGAAATGTTCGAGAAAAAGTTTAACATTGAAGTACAAACTTTACAGCCTTTACGTGAGTTTGTTGCACAACTGAAAGAAGAAGGTAGTCAGCCACAACTTATAGACTTTCATTATGAATTTAATGAAAATGAAGATGGAACTCATGACTGTCAATTCATTGTATTCTCACCGTTAAACAAATTAGCTAAAGAGAAAGAAAATCCATTACGTATAAGATTTCAAATCTCTGAACCAAGTGATGATTTCAAAAATGTTTTCAATTATGATGCAATGCTTCCGAGGAAAAATGATTTTTCCGAAATTAGATTTCCAGGTATTTGGGATAGAAAACAAGCAATATTATATTCAAACCTAAGTAAAGGAGTTGAAAATAAGTTCATTGGTCATACAAGAAATTCACCATTACCAAATCCTAAATATTACAAACTAACTGGTTTCAATCGTGAGTTTTGGATAGACATGTACTCAACTCATGACCATAAAGCACCAGTGTTCTTGCCTCCAGATAGAAAAGATTGTTTATACATTGAAGCTCAACTCTTAAATTCTACAATAGCTGTATTGTAAAATCTACGCTAGTTTTATTTTTTCTGAAAATTTTTATTTGAGTGAAAGGCATGGAAGGTGAAGGACATTGGCAAACACTCGAACATGACAATGACTATGAAATCTTTTCAGAGTACCCTTATCCAATTAGACGTATAAGCAATAAAAGAGTTGTTAGTGAGTTTGACCAAGGAGATGGTTATATTTGTGTAAATTTAAACAAACACAAGCTGATGAAACATAGAATAGTTGCAGAAACTTTCATTCCGAACCCTGAAGGACTTCGTGAAGTAGACCATATAAACAGAGACAGAGGAGACTTTCATATCTCGAACTTAAGATGGACGACAAGAAGAGAAAACATGAGAAATATTTCTGGTTCAAATGGCTATTGGTTTGACATTGTTGACTCTCTTCCTGAAGACGCTGTTGAAATTATACAATACTCATATCACACGTTAGAGAACTACTACTATGTCCCAAGTGAAGATGCCTTTTACTATTTCATGGGAACTCAATACAGACGAATGAATGTCTTAAGACAGTATAACAAAGATTATATAAACATTACAGATGTAGAAGGAAGAAGAATAAAGCTGTCTATTGCAAAGTTTAAGAGAGACAATGGTTATTCATAAATGACAAAAATATATGACCTCATTATTTTTATCACGAATGACCTCATTGCTGACAAAAATAAATGACCTCAGAACTTCAACTTACGAATAAAGCTTGTTTTAGTCGTTATTGAGAAGTTAAACTTCTCTTCAAATGCAGGTGTAGCAGACTTACATAAGTCAAATCCAATCTCTTGACCATCATAAAGTGCTTTGTAAAGTTTCATTAAACTGAACTCAGAGTCTTTGTCATATGTTCCAACAGGTATGTGAATGTTCTTATCTTCATTGTAATAGCATTGTATAGCTTCAGGAAACATTTCATTAGCTGTTAAAGCAAGAACGTCTTGTTTTACACCTTTACAACGTGCATGAAATGCAACTTCATTTAAATCATTCTTGAGTAAGTCTATGTAAGTCTTCTTTCCACAAAATATTGACTTGTATGCTAAACTTTGTTTTCCAGGTGTTATTTCTGCGAAGTCAGAATGGAACTGACCTAATGTTTTACCAATAAGTTCTCTACCGTATCTCTTCTTAAACTCTGCTGCAAGCTTTGGTATGTCTTCATTGAAAATATGCATGCTATCACAGTCCTGGTAAAATATTTGAAGTCCCATATCTTCTGCAGTACAGAATACTTCGTTCACTATTCTCTTCGACATTGACAGAATATTAACACCAAGTGGACAGAAGTTAAAGTGTCTGCAAATGCTTTTCGTTAGCTTGAAAATAGTTTTATCCGAACCATCCAAACCTTCGAACTTCACTATATGATTGTAGTTTCTGATGGCATATCTTATAGCATCTTTGTCATCTACTATGGTTATTTTTGACTCAATAGGAGATAGAATAGTTTTGCCATAAATACTGTTCAGAATGAGCTTTATATTTTCTTGCAAAGGATTTCCTTCTTTCTTATACTTTAACCTTAACTCAAACAACTTCTTTACTTCATCTCTTATTCTAATATCTCTGTTTCCATCGTAATAGTATCCTTGCAACACTTCACATTTGACACCTTGATATTTTATGAGGTCTTGTAATGTTATATGGTCAACATACATTAAACAGCAAGTGTTTGAACTTCTGGGAACGTTAAGTTCTGGATTTAGTTCAGGGTCACAAACTATTAAAGGAAAGTGTCTATGTATGCCAATCTCTTTTATCTTAATGAGAACAAAGAAGCCAGACATAAACTTTTCACCAATGGGTTCCTTTTGTTCGTCATCGAATAAATGTCTCATGAGATACTCTGTGCTTAACATTTCTTTCTTCATAACCTTTGGAATTCCTTCTAAAGTATAAAGTCTTGCTATAGCGGATGGATATAATGAAACAGCGTCGAAGTCAGCAATGAGTTTCTTTTCGCTCTTTTGTTTCATGTTATCTGACAACATACATCTTCCACCTTGAATACAGCGTGAAATAAATTCTCTTGGTTTATTTGAGAGGTCATATAAATTTCCATTCGGGAAGTACACTCTGTTCTCAAATAATTTGTTAGCAATTGAACAAATGCTAACGTAGTCATAAACGTTTAAATCAAATTCTTTCAATATGTCATTGCGGAACTTAACAAAACCTTCTCTTAATATTCTTACATCTTGTTTGCAGTAAAACGTGCTATACTTTTCTAAGTCGAAGTGGTTTTCATCTATTCTGCAACCTTTGATGGAATCTATGTTTTTCATGAATGTATCTGCATCCTGGATAAACTTACATGCTTCAGAAATGACACCAGTTCTGTTGTCATTTGCTAACAAAACACTGCTGTAGTAGTTGTATGGAAATACTTCTTTCGGTCCTGTTTGTAAGTTAAACATAGCAGGAAATAGTTTAAGCTTCTTATTTATAACACTGTAAGAGTCTTTTATAATAATTGCCCTTCCTTTATATAAGCCAGTTATTTGCATTGTTCGTGAACCTTTAATGATGGGAGTTCCTTTCACTTCTGTCATGTGTCTTAAGATGAAGTTTATATCATAACTGAGGTTATGGAAATATATTAAACTCTTGTCAGGAAGTCGTTCCAAAAATTCTGTTGCACAGTTCTGACCCCAAATGCTTTCACTCACTGAACCATCTTCACTGTCGTAACATATGTTAAAAGCTTTATGAAAGCCATCGGTACTGCACTCAAAGTCAGCAAAGAAAACGTGCTCAGGAATGAACTTACATTTAGCTTTATTTACTTCTTTTGACTCGGCTTTCTTCTTCAGTTGTACACAATACTTTGGAGCATATGTCAAATCTTTAAATGGTGCAAGGTTCTGTTTAGATAAGTCAGTCGTATATGTGAAAAGTTCTCCATAAGAAATAGGTTCGAAATATTTGCACTCCCACAATGTTTTCATAACATCCCATAACGGTGTTGTTCTATCATAACGAACAATATATTTGTTCTCTCTCTTTGTATAAATCTTCATCTATTTCTCAATGTTCATTCCACCACACTCCTTCAAGATTTCTATATAGTTGCGAATGAAATATGTTGTCATTGGTAATCTTTCATTTAGCATGTAGTGGTCTTCAACAAGAAGTAAGTCAATAGTTCGAATAGTTTTACATTCTTTTGGTATGTATCTCTTTATTTCATTATGTCTTGAGTCATTGAAGTAACCAATGGTAACATTAAATGCTATACCTGTTGCATCAGAAATTTCTTGTACTTTACTTTGAGGAAAGTCTCTAACACGAATGACTTCTCTCATGTGGTCTACCGTCTGCTCATCTACTCCAGCCTGAATGCAAGCATAAACGAAACAATTGTCTTCTGTCATAAGTGTTGCAGTTCTTTTGTTCAGTTCATTGAAGATTTGGTAGCGTTCAAGATTTATAGGTAATGTGCAAAGATACTTCCAGAACTGACCGCTTCTCTTCTTATAAAACTTCTTTTCACCATTATCTTTCCAAAAGCTTTCTATAAGTGCTGGGTTTCCTGTTTGCTTAAGAGCTTCCAAAATGGCTTTCTGGTCATTTGTCAGTGTGCTTTCATCTCTATATGGTCTCTTTTTTGGCTTTCCTTTCTTAACATCTGACATCGTTAAGCCTTCATATTCAGTTAAATCATACATTTTTATTTCGGTAAGATTCTTTATGTTTGTCAAGAAGAAGTCATAGTGCATTTCAACAATACCTGCAGCATTTGCTTCTATCTCTGATATAAAGTTCTCCTTCAAGAGCTGATGTAGTAATGTTCCAATATTATTGAGGTTTAACGTAGAACATTCATACTTTCCACCAAGTTTATAACATACCATCCATCTCTGTTGTGAGTTTATTTTAATTTTCTCTAAGAGTCTCATGAAAACCTTACCGAAATGTTTGTGTAAGTAGTCTCTGTTTGGTTCATCTAAAGCTTCGATGTTAAAGTCAATGAGTCTATTGCCTGACTTCACATTTCTCTTCCTATTCTCTTCATCTTTCTTTAACCATCTCTCACCTTCTTTTGGTTTGTCGTCAATGGAACGAATGACATCATTAGCTTTGCGAACTTGTTCTATAGCACTTTTAAACATCTCTCTTCTCTGTTGTTTCAGTGTGTCGTCTCTCTTTCGTGTTTTACCAACGTTTGCATTTGTTATGTCATACATTTCTCTTCTTACTTCATGAGGTACAGCTCTTCTTGTTTCACCAACGTTTGAGTTCGTAAGTTCAAACAACTCTTGACGAACGTCATGAGAAAGAGCTTTACGAGTATGACCAACGTTTGCATTTGTTATGTCATACATTTCTCTTCTTACTTCATGAGGTACAGCTCTTCTTGTTTCACCAACGTTTGAGTTCGTAAGTTCAAACAACTCTTGACGAACGTCATGAGAAAGAGCTTTACGAGTATGACCAACGTTCGCATTTGTTATGTCAAACATTTCTCTTCTTACTTCATGAGGTACTGAACGTCTATGATATAAGTCAATAGCAACGTCATTTAAAGGAAATGCTCTTGCATGGACTTCGTCCTCGCCGCGTTGCGGCTTTATGAACTCATGAATTCTATCATAACTTATTGCACCATTATAGTCATTGAGGATGTCAGCGAGTGCTTTTTTGTTTGTTGCGTAATGCTTTGCAACATCTATATTAGCTTCTGTAAGAAGTTGTTTTATTTCCGAGTGTTCTAACTTAGACAACTTCCGATACATCTTTAGTAGGAAATAAAAAAATATTTTTTGAAAAAATTAGATTAGATTTTTTTAAGTTATTTTTCAAAATAATTTAATATTTTTATTTTAATGAAACACATGCAAGATTGCAAGTTCTTTTCATACAATGCTCTCGCTACTGCCATCAAGAATGAGTTCAATGGTGCTTCAAATGTTAATGTTATCTTTAACAAGAAGTTTGTGAAAGAATCTAAGTTCGGTCATGTTATATACGAAAACGATAAAAACAGTTTGACAGAAAAGTGACAACTTTACGTGTCAAAAATATAAAAAGTGATATTTTATTCATCATTATCTTCTTCATAATTTATTTCATATTCTTCGTCTTACCAACAAAAGATGGGAATGTGAACAATTGCGGGCAATTTTTAGCCATTTTGGCTTGGAACTAGAGCCTGCGAGGTACATGGATAGTATCAGTACCTCACAGGCTCTAGTTCTCTATATGGCGCCGAGAAATTTTGGTGAAATGTGGTCGCATTTCACCAAAATTTTTTCGGCGCCATAGGATGAATTGGAGGGTGAGAGATATTATTTCATACAATACTACTCTCACCTCCAATTCCCAGCCAAAATGGCTAAAAATTGCCCGCAATGTGAACAATTGCGGGCAATTTTTAGCCATTTTGGCTTGGAACTAGAGCCTGCGAGGTACATGGATAGTATCAGTACCTCACAGGCTCTAGTTCTCTATATGGCGCGAGAAATTTTGGTGAAATGTGGTCGCATTTCACCAAAATTTTTTCGGCGCCATAGGATGAATTGGAGGGTGAGAGATATTATTTCATACAATACTACTCTCACCCTCAATTTTAATTACTTAAACTCATTCTATTTTTTTGACATGTAAATGTCACTTTTACTGAGATCTGACACAATGTCAGATCTCTTTTTTTCGTATATAAGAGTCAGTATGTCAGACCATTAGCTATCGTCATTGACCGCAAACGTTATACTTCACAAGAGTTAGCAGTAGTTTTGAAACAAAAGAGTTTCTTCGTGAATGTCAAAGATACACACTATACTGTCATAAAGAACTCTAACATTGACTTCTTCAGTATTGCTTTAAATCTTTCCGAACAGAAAGAATATAAGAAAGGTGAAACAAATGTGAAATATTATCCTTCATCTCTGAAGACAATAACGAACAAAGATGTTATACAGAAATTCTTACCAAAGGTTGAAGAAGCTTCTATTGACATTGACGAAGGAAGTGAAATGGTTGAAGAAATAGACCCTGAAGCTATTTAAGCAAAAATTATTTTTGGTTAGTCTTCATATCGATATTTTACAACAATTCCCCAATGTATAAACTTTTCATACGCTTTTTCATAAGCTTTATATACCTTCAGAAATTTTGCATAATCTTTAGAAGCATTTAGATATTGTTTAAATGCTTTGTATGTCTTCAGAAATTTTGCATAATCTTTTACATGTTGTTCGTTCTCTTCTTCTGTCATGAGTTCCGAATATTCTAAATTCATGTTCTTTCATATGAGATAAAATTTTATAAAAAAATAAAATTAGCTTAGATTTTTTTTATTCTTCCTCTTTGAAGTTATCGAAATATTCTGTTATTTTTTCCTTCAGTAATGTTAAGTCTTCTTTGAATGTAAGTATTGTGCAACCTTTGATGTCATAGTGTGTTTGAGGAAGAGTATTTTTGACAATTTCCTTTATTTGCTCATTCGGTGTCATTGAAATCGGTAAGTTTTCACGATAGAACCAATTTCTGTCAGATTTATATATCTTAGCTAAGTCGTAAAAGCTCTTGTTGTTTCTTCTCACTAAATGCAACATAACCATGTCACTGTCTTCTTCCTTCTCCAACTCTTCAGTATATATCATATACTTATAACTCTTTCCCTTTCCTTTTGGTACTGAACGTGGTATTCTTTTCTGTATGCTTTTGTCTTTGGATTCAATGACTTCATCTTTTGCTTGAAGTTTCTTTTCCATCTCTCCACGTTCTGCTTTATATAGTTCATCTAACATCATGAAAATATAACAAGCATAACGAGGTGAAGCCCACATTGCTACAGCGTTTACTAAAAGTCTATGAATATAATAACCTTTCAAACCAGGAGCCAAATTCTTGCGATTTTCGTACGGAATCTCTTCTCTCGGTTTTCCGAGGGAAGCAATCATATGAGGAAATTCTTCTAAAAGTTCTTTTGTCTGTTGGTTTTCAAACCAATGATATGCTTGCTTTGTAGAACGAAGAGCGTTCATTATACTTTGCATCTGGTACATATCGTCTTTGACCGAACGAATGAGGCGAAGTTGTTTGTTATATTGTATGTATTCGTATTCTTCATTTATGGCTTCATGAACGATAGCAGTTGTTGTGTTCTCTAATGTTGTCATTACTGTCTTTACATACAAAATAAAAAAATAAATAAAAAAAAATTCTAACTTTATTTTTTCTGTTGTAATAAACAGAAATTCATCAAAAGTGACAGCTCTCAATTTTTTGACATTTGTAAATTCTAAATTGAATGAGAAAAATGAAATAATACTAAGCATAATACAATATTCTAGATTTAATTATAATTAGGAAAAAGTTAGTTTTGAGAGTACTTTTCATAGGCATATAGAATGAAATCTTCTGAAAAATAATATCACATAAACTCATATTATTTTCTAATATATAACTATTTTATATAAAAATCAAATTCAATGATCTTAAAAGCGAAGGATAAACCTCAAAATTTACGAATATAATGAGTGGGAATATAATGCTTATCTATCATAAAACCATATGAAATATTAATTTTTGCTTTACGCCTAATTTTTGACGACAATTAGCAAAAAATGTTAAATGTTAACACTCAGTCCATTTGAATATGAAAAATAAAATTGACTTTGATTAAATGTTTTTATTTATCATGCAATTCTTCTTGCGACCAAAGATTTGAATAAAATTTCAAAAAATAAGATAGCTTAAAAAATAATATACGGTAGTGTTTACTAATAGATGAATAGTATATAAATTCTATTAAAATGGATTTGATCCAAAAAAATATATAAAATTTGATCATAAATAAAATCGTTTTAAATTACTTCTTCATTTAAATTGAGGATGTTTTATTGTCGTCTGGAAAAAGTGACAAAATTATTATTGTCGTCTAAAAAATAGATTTTTCAAGCATGTTTCGGTACCTAAATAAAGGAAGAACATCAATTCCGTCTATGTATATAGTATGCAAACACGCATGATATATGGAGATATAAAAATTGCTCACATTTGCTCACATTTTGGCACTTTTTTTGTACGTTTGTCAAAAAATTGTGAGGAAAATCTCACAAAAATAGTCAAAATGTGAGCAAATTTTGAGAAGTGCTCACATTTTGACATACGATTATTTTCATACGTTTTTTTGATGAATTCTAATAAAACTTCATTACCACTTTCAGAACGAAGCGTAACTTTTCAGCACGTAACGCTCTATCATGTGTAGTGACATATTATTCAAAAAAACTCAGATTGCTTATCTTATAATAACAATTTCATTAGAAAAAATGCACGATTTCACGCTAAAACTTTGAAGCAATTCTTAAATTCGGATAAAAAATCGATATGTATTACACTTTAAACTTCAAAAAATGGTTCAAAATTTAGACTTAGTTTATCTTAACAATATAGCAGATTTTAAGCCGAACAAGTAGGAGTAATAGAAATAGCTCTTGAAAATAATTACAATTAGTAATATGTAAGTCAAAGTTCGAGTATTCTAATAAATAAACGTTCCGGATTTTCTTTACTACAAGAATCAATACTTAATATATAGAAGCAACAGTAAAAACTTATTAGAGATTCAAAAAGAAAGTTGACTAAAGAGAATCTTTTTATATAAGTAATTTTATTTTTTTGAAATACGAGATCGAATAAACATGTATTTTATTTTATTACTATAATAATACGTTTTTACATAGTAAGAAAGTTTAGAGACTGAAATGAAATTAAAAATTGAGAAAAAAATAAAGCTTTTCTATAAAAATTCATATTAATATATAGTATAATGATATTACAATTTATTGATAGTTGTGTTAGAAAAAAGGTACATTCACTATTTTTGACAAAATTTTAAATTTTCATGGGGTTGTAAATCTTATAATAACTAGATGAATAAGGAATAAATCCCAGTATGATGTGCATCATTATATTAAACACTATATGTAAGGCTGGTGATTCTATTAACACTTATGAAGATCTATAGTATTTGAGCAGATAAATTTGATAATTTCCAAAACTCTTATATTTCAAAATTAAAGTGTGCGAATGCATTTAAATGAGAGCAAAAAGAGATTGATGCTGTTAAAACTATGTGTTAATTTGCAATTATTTCGCATCACAAGAACTACCCAGTAAATTCGGCTATCTTTCTTTGCAATTATTCTCCATTATATATATAATATAATGGTTAGGGTTTGAAGAAAAGTTACTAGAGAATTATTGACTTTTGAAATAATGCAGAATTTTACTTGAAGAAATCATTAATTTATGAGTTCCAAATTGCTAAGCATGACGAAGGATCATTAAATTTGCTACAATTAAATACACTTATTGCAGAATTAAGATTTTTGAAATTAAAAGTTTGAAATATTGCCTTTTTGAATAAAAATTTAAATTTTATTATATAATCATGATAATATCTTATAGAAATTAAAAGAAAATATTTTAAACCATTCAAATATTTTGAATG